TTCTGGATCATGTGGCCAGCATGACTAAGCCGCTTCTGGCGAACCAGAGCAGCACACGGAAACGCCGTTTACCTTCCCGCCAGAGGAATTTATCTACTATTTATCTACTTGCACTTTGATGTGCTTTCGAACTGCTAGGTTGGCAGGAGCAGGGACCGAGCAGTGGGAGCTCACCCCACTGTGGGGATTTAAACCGCCTACCTTCTGATCAGCAAGTCCTAGGCTCTGTGGTTCAACCTACAGCGCCACCCGTGTCCCTATTATAGGGGGTAGGATGGCTAATATAATGATAGATTACCTCCCTGGAGGGATCTGATCACATCAGCTAGCTGTGGAGAGCAGGTGAGTCCTAATCATATTCAGAACAGAACATCTACCTGCAGGGTGATGTGGAGGCCTAAGGAGGGACATGGATAATGAGGTGTGAGAGACCCAGCTCAGTCCATGGTTCAAGAGCTCACCGGGAGGGAAGATAGTAGTTTAAGCCAATCCTTCAAGCCTTGACATGAGGCCTCATCACCTTCGTAATGTTGTAGGAGGGCTAGGAGGGAACACAGTGGTAATTGAAAGCATGAGGTACCTGTTACAGAAAGCCACTTCCACCCTTTGGAGGAGGTGGAGTTGTGGGCTTCACGGCCCCACCACGTGCACGGTGGCTGGAATCCAGCCCCCGCATGACTGGGGGGATTCCCGGCTGTGTCATCTCCTGGCCAGCCAATCGGAGGGCTCAGGGGGCGTGTCCAGCCCTATTTAACATAGGTACGACCAGAGATCTCCCTCTTTTGCCGCCTCCAGCTGCTCCAGTTTCCCACCCTCCCGCCCTTTAAGGTTTTCGTTCCTTGACCTTGCTATGGACATTGTTTGGTCGCCGTTGAGGGGCCTGGTAGGAATTTTCCCACTTGGCAAATTGGCACCAGCCACTTGGTTCTCGCCTACCTCATAGCAAATCGTCGCAACTTTCTAGGTATTGGCGGTTAGGCATTGGTATGTTTCTGTAGATGGAAGAAGGGAGGTATTGCCGTCACCTGCCCCGCATATTGAAGGGTAGTCCGGTAAAGGATTCCGGGGGGGGGGGTGTGGCCCTGTCCGAAGCCTAAGGAGGTGAGGGCCTAAGGCACGCTGCCTAGCGGTGAGCTTGGGGGAGTTCCTAGTTGATGTGCATCAGCAGGACTAACCCTACTGGTGGTTAACACTTCCTGTCTTCACCTGCCATATCTGAAGTCAAGGGTAAGGCTAAATGAATGTGGCTTGTAGAAGACAACCTCATGGACCACACGGGGACCCCTGGTGGGTCAATTCAGACCCACAGGCAGAGGTCCCCCACTGCTGCAAAATATATGTATTACTTATTCATAGTAAAAAGCATAATTTGTAGTTTCAGTCCAGTGGATAAGCGAGTCAAAATCTGTGCATTAGTCTGGAATGTTATGGCTCAGATCATTCTATAATGGAATTTACAACGATCAAGTTCTCAAAGCGTCCTTCTACCACAAAATGCCTCCTCTGCAACTGTTGCTGGTGTGACTTCCTTCAGAAGCAACTTCTGGGTCAACTTCTCAGTAAGAAACAGCACTGCTTTGGCCCTGGGAATAGAGTGAATTAAGGACTCCTCTCCACTCAAGAGGAAGTGGAGCAGCCACAGCTCAGCAGCTCTGTTCTGCTGGGGTCTTTTTCTGACCTGCTCTGAGGTCGGAATCTGGCTAGGATCCATCTGCCAGGTTGATTACTAATTCAGAGAGCAGGAGACAGAGTCAAAGTTAATTCTCCTCCTAAAAAACCCCCAAAGCAATTTTCATTTGCAGCCTCGGCAGTTTCAAGCATCCTTTCGCACCCCAAGGACAAGCAAGCTGCCCAGTTAGATTGAGGAGCATGGGCTTGCATGGACCACTGAAAGGATTTGCAATTTGAGGCTCAGGCGTGCGGCAACTGCACACCTCTCAGAGGTTGCTAAGCATTCAGGACAGGCCTAGAGACTTTGGCATTTAAGCCGTCTGGTGCTCTCAATCTCGGACACAGTGGTGCCTGGTGCCCTTTGGGTCTGGTAGGGTGGAAGGCAGGGAGACCGACAGGGGGAACCAGAGCAAATGACAGGCAAAGCCACTTCCTGGATATGTAAGAAGGTAGGGTTGTGGGTTGCACTGTGGTCCAAACCACTGAGCCTCTTGGGCTTGCCGATCGGAAGGTCGGCGGTTCGAATCCCCGCAACGGAGTGAGCTCCTGTTGCTCAGTCCCTGCTCCTGCCAACCTAGCAGTTTGAAAGCACGTCAAAGTGCAAGTAGATAAATAGGTACCACTCCGGCGGGAAGGTAAACGGCATTTCCGTGCACTGCTCTGGTTTCGCCAGAAGTGGCTTAGTCCTGCTGGCCACATGACCCGGAAAAACTGTCTGTGGACAAACGTTGGCTCCATCGGCCAGTAAAGCAAGATGAGTGCCACAACCCTAGAGTCGTTCATGACTGGACTTAACTGTCAGGGGTCCTTTACCTTTTTAGGCCAACTGAGGTTGGTGGGCCGCTTCCCTTTCATACATCTCTATTTGGCCCTTGGGATTGTCCCCTGGCAACAGCCCATCCCAGAGGCCACAACTCCTTAGGTTCTTTCTTGTGTGGTTAGAATGTGCCACTGAATTGTGATCATGCCTTTTGCTTGCCTGGAAGGAAGATAGAGATAGGGCTGTGTGCAAGTCCTTAAATCTAGTGTCCAGATCAAGAGAAGTAACAGTACCACTCTATTCTGCCTTGGTCAGACCACACTTGGACTCCTGTGTCCAATTCTGGGCACCACAATTTAAGAAGTATGTTGGCAAGCTGGAATGTGTGCAGAGGAGGGCAACCAAGATGATCAAGGGTCTGGAAACCAAGCCCTATGAGGAACGGTTGAAGCAGCTGGCTAAGTTTAGCCTGGGAAAGAGGAGGCTGTGAGGAGATATGATGGCCATCTTCAAATATCTCAAGGGCTCTCACATGGAAGAGGGAACAAGCTTGTTTTCTCCTGCTGCGGAAGGTAGGACTCAAATCAATGGTCTCAAGTTACAAGAAAGGAGCTTCTTACTAAACACCAAGAAAAACTTTCGGATAGTAAGAACTGTGTAAAGATTTGAACTCAGATCCTCCAGCCTCAACACTCCAGACCAATGGATCCTGCAGCATGAAAGGGGCTTGAAGCCTAAGAAAAATGCAATGGGAGATAAGTAAACAAATGCTGTGCTTTGTTTGTTTCCCCTGATGTTCTTGGAAGGCCATGAAGGTGGGAGAGAATCTGTAATCTGATTAGCAGCTATTACTCAATTATCTCTTTAAAAACCAACGAGATGACTATTGATCCAGTTATCCCGGGCATGGAAACAAATGGAGACTGGCAGAGAGAATCGTCCACGGAGGGACTTCTCCATTTCAAAGCATCCTGTTTTCACAATCACACCAAAAGGAACTCCTGACCTATGTAGAGAACATGAGAATTGGTTGATTTGAAAGCAAAAATTGTGTTAGCAAAGAGCTGGAGGAGAGGGAGCATTGGCAGAAGCAGACCAGGCCTTCTCCCATCTGTGTTTCCAAAGCTAATGGCTTCTAACTGAACCAAAGCTTTGCGAAGAGGACAAGATTAGTGAACCATCCGCCAATTAGCCGCTGGGCGGGGGGGGGGGGAGAGAAAGCTCATATTACAGCTTTCAGTCTGAAGCCTTAATTAACAACAAAAGCATTCCATGGCACCTAGAAATCCATATCACCATCAAAATAAAACATATGGCTCACTAAACACCCAGAAGATTATCTGGGGTGAGAGAGAGAGGGGAGATTACCAGTCCCAGACATAATAACTACAGCTGCCGCTGGATTCCCCTATATACTCTGTGGAAATCTGGCGACACGTTCTAGCAGGGCATTTGACCTGGCAGGTAAATGTGTGTGCCCTGTCCAAATCCAGAGGGAGACCCTCTCTGTTTTTGACTTCTGCTTGTAGTTTAAAAGTGCTCACACAGAACCGGATGGTGGTTAGCAGTTCATCATCACTGCAGAACGTTTCCTGCAGATCCCAGTACTGCTTTTGTGAGCTGGTGTGTCACAGTGGCTAAAGGAGGATGGGGAATCTGAGGTTCAGCTACCGTTTGTGTGGGCATTTCAAATTTGCCCAGCTTGAGAAAGTCCCATAGAGCTTGATTCCAGCCCTGCTGCTTGCCGTCTCCTCCAGAACCCCCTTAGTTTTGAGAAGGAAGACTTGTAAAGACCTTTCTGGAGCAGGGATGGAAGGATGTGTGGATTTCAGTTATCTGAGCTTTTCGCTTTTCCAATCAGTTCTCCAAATTTTGCAGCAAATTTCTGTGAAAAAGAAGTTGACCGGAAAGAGCATTGCATTGGCCTTGAGTCTGTTGCATCTGGGATTTCAGTGAACAAACGATGTTGCGTTATGCTGACCTAGTTTAGGGTAGTCTGACCGGTTGTAGCTATCCAAGGTTTCACATAAAACAGAAGAATCGATTTTGGGTTCTCCCAGTTTCTGATTTTCCCCCCCAACTTAAATGCAATACATCCCATTTTTGAATCAGTTTGCAAACATTTTTCCCCCCCCACAGAATCATAGAACTGTAAACTTGGAAGGAAACCCGAAGATCATTTAGTCCAACCCCGTACAATGCATGAATCTCAACTAGATCATACATGACAGATGGCCACCCAACCTCTGCTTAAAAAGCTCCCATGAAGGAAAGCCCACCGCCTTCCAAAGGAAACCATCCGACTGTCGAACAGCTCTTACTCAAAATATATATATATATTCCTGGTTTTCAGTTGGAATCTCCATTCTTGTAAATGAAGCCATTGCATGCATGCTTTCTCATAATATATGGTCCACCCCACCTTTTCACATTATTGTGGTTGTGGAATTGCATCATAAAATTTGGAGAATTTCAAATATTTCAAAGGATAGTTGTGTTTTGGTTCAGGTATTAAGTGTGATTTAGGTCGGTTCACATGAAAATGGAACCAAGACAAATTGCCCAGTCTGGATAGCTCAGTTGGTTGGAGCATGCTTCTGATAACTCAAGGTTGCAGGTTCGATCCCTGTAAGGTACAGCTGCATGGTCTTGGACTAGATGATCCTCAGGGTCATAGCTGTCAACTTTTCCCTTTTCTTGCGAGGAATCCTATTCGGAATAAGGGAATTTCCCTTAAAAAAAGGAAAATGTTGACAACTATGCTCAGGGTCCCTTCCAACTCTACAATTATATCTAATCCTGACCATTCTTATTCCCACATTCTGCTATTTGATACCCTTCTAACTGGAGATGCCAGGGAGTGGAACCTGGAACCTTCCTCATGCAAATTATTATTATTAATTTATTAATTTTGTATACCACCCTATACCTGCAGATCTCCCACTGGGCAATGGGTTCTCTCCGAAGGGGGAGGATTAGATGAAGGGGGAGGTTAGATGATGTGAATTCCCAAATAGAGAACATTTCCCTTTTTTATGGGAATGCAGATAACCGGACAGGACAAAGAGGCAAGTACAATCACCAATGCGACTTGCCTAGATGAGACAATGAACGCAACAGCCTCTGACCCACTTCAAAGCCATCACCATCTGCCCCCAAAAAGAGGACACTGGATTAAGGATTAACTGGTGCTAAGACGGAGGAAGCTGTTGTTACACATTCAGCAAAAGCAGCAAAAATCACACACACACCCCTCAAAAAAAATCAAGAATTTGTAGATGCCAATGCATCTGGATTCCCAGAGCATCTCCTGTTGTGCACGATCCCATCTCTCTCTGGTTGAGCGAGAAAGACTTAAAAGTGGAGTAAGGGAGCTTGTCATTAAGAGAAATGCTTTGACGGCTGATCTGTGCAGTCAGCTGAGAGGGAAGGAGATACTGAGGGAACAAGAAATGGGCCGCTCGTGTGTGGTCTTCCCTGGGGGGAAACAACGGTAGTCTTTCAGTTGCTCATTAGGACCAAACCTGAGAGCAGAGGAGAAAACCCAGGATGCAGGAGCAAAAAAATTGTCTCCGGCATCAGATATGTAGTAGGCGATCTAAATTCTAGCTGATCATTAAAAAACAACAGCAACACAGCACCTTTGTGCTATATATCTGTGCCTTTCTGCATGATGGATTCACACTTGTTTGTTTTCGTGCGCACAGAGGAATTGGCGGGTGTTATTTTGTTCCACCCCACTGAGTCACTCGAGAAAAGAGATTTGTTTGCACACTGTGTATAAATATCTTATAAATATCAGGAATGAATGTTAAGAAGATAGCAAGGGGCTGGCTGGTGGAGTGGACGAAGGGACCATCTGGTCCAGCGTTCTGTCCCCATGTCAGCCAACCCATAGTTCCAAGGGATAGACCCACAAGCACTGCACAACAGCCATCCGGTGGCCAGTCTGGTATGATGAATCAGGAGGGGCCTTGCAAAGGGGTAGAAAATATCATTAAATGTGGAACAAGCTCTTTAAAAAATAATAACTTTTATTTTTTGCTCCTATCTCCAATCAGAGACAGGGCTGGTCCAGGACTTTGTCCTGCCTCAAGTAAAGGATGAGATGACCTTGCCCCATTGCATGCTGAAAGCATTCAGCACTGGTAACCGGACAGCTCCTTCCACCACATCTATGGACAGTAGACTACTTTAGAGAGTGCAAACCATCTCTCTCTTCTCCTCCATCTTTCTTGCTCCTCCACTGGAAGCCAACTCATTGCCTACAAGTGCTGCAATGCAGCAGCTGAATGCATCATGACAGAAGAATGACACACCCACCCCTATGAGGACTGCTGGAGTGCAAGGCCTGGGCTGCCTGCCTCTCTGCTTGATCACTCAGTACGGGGCCTTTCCCCCAGTGGAGTGTTGGGAGTAGGCAACCAGGCAAGATGGGTTGATAGCTCAGGGCTGCAACAAGCAAGCATCAGTGGGTGTACACTGAGTAGAAGGTAGTGGAAGGAAGTGATCATTACTCACTGGGCACAGAAATGCACTTTGCACATGCTCTAGTGGCATCATTAGATACAGCCAGGGAGAAGCTCATGAGAAATGTAGTGAGGGCTGCTGCTGCCCAAGGTGGGTGCTTCATTCTGCCTAATGGTGGGGCTGGCCTTGGGCAGGGATCTACAATGAAAGAGTCGTCTCCCTAGCATGCTAGAGTGGATAGTTGCAACCTTAGATTCCCACCCAGCTTCATTCGCTTGTACTCACTAGGGGTGGAAGATGAAGGACAGAGGAAGAGATTCGCCGGTGAATTTAAAGGCATTATTATTATTATTATTATTATTATTTCTTATTTGTACCCCACCCATCTGGCTGGGTTTCCCCAGCCACTCTGGGCGGCTTCCAACAAAGACCAAAAATACACAAAAATGTCACACATTAAAAACTTCCCTGAACAGGGCTGCCTTCAGATGTCTTCTGAATGTCAGGTAGTTGTTTATCTCTTTGACATCTGATGGGAGGGCGTTCCACAGGGCGGGTGCCACCACCGAGAAGGCCTTCTGCCTGGTTCCCTGTAGCTTTGCTTCTCACAATGAGGGAACCACCAGAAGGCCCTCAGCGCTGGACTTCAGCATCCGGGCAGAACGATGAAGGTGGAGACGCTCCTTCAGGTATACAGGACCAAGGCCGTATAGGGCTGTATAGGGCTTTCAAGGTCAGCACCAACACTATGAATTGTGCTTGGAAACGTACAGGGAGCCAATGTAGGTCTTTCAAGACCGGTGCTATATGGTCTCGGTGGCCGCTCCCAGTCACCAGTCTAGCTGCTGCATTCTGGATTAGTTATAGTTTCTGGGTCACCTTGAAAGGTAGCCCCAGGTAGAGCTCATTGCAGTAGTCCAAGCTGGAGATATACAAATATATAAAAGGATGTCACATAGTGGAGGGAGAAAGGTTGTTTTCTGCTGCTCCAGAGATGCGGACACGGAGCAATGGATCCAAACTACAAGAAAGAAGATTCCACCTAAACATTAGGAAGAACTTCCTGACAGTAAGAGCTGTTCGACAGTGGAATTTGCTGCCAAGGAGTGTGGTGGAGTCTCCTTCTTTGGAGGTCTTTAAGCAGAGGCTTGACAACCATATGTCAGGAGTGCTCTGATGGTGTTTCCTGCTTGGCAGGGGGTTGGACTCGATGGCCCTGGTGGTCTCTTCCAACTCTATGATTCTATGATTCTATGATAACTAGAGCATGCACCACTCTGGCAAGACAGTCTGTGGGCAGTAGGGTCTCAGCCTGCGTACCTCCCCTTTTACTCAGTGGATTGAAGCCACTGAAGTGCATACTTTTCATGGGCCTGGGACCTTTGAGTCCTCTCCCGGTTCCATTTCTACATGAAGTCATGGAAAGGAGGATATTGGTCATGGTACTGAATGGAATATCTGTACTTGGAGGCAGTGCACGTCTCAACAGTAGATGATCAAAACACGCCAGAAGGTGGTACAGAGCTGATATGAAGCATCCCATCTTACTTCCAAAATCCCAGACGCATCAGGCATAATAGCATAAGAAGATCCTGCTGAGTCAGCCCAATGACCCATCTAGTCCAGCGTACTGTTCTCACAGTAGCTGCCCAGATGCCTGTGGGAAACCAGCAAGCAGGATTCGGGCACAAGAGCCCTTTCCCCTCCTGTGGTTTCGAGCAACTGGGACTCAAAAGCGTTGCTGCCTCCAGCCGTGGAGCCCCAGCCACCAAGTCTAGTAGCCATCAATGGCTTTCTCCTCCATGAATTTCTATAATCCTCTTTTAAAGCCATCTAGGTTGGTAGCCATCACTGAAGCTTTTTCAGATCAAGTTACTGTAATTTATCGTGCTTATCTATGCCATGTCAGTCATGCGCTTCGGCACATCTGTTTAATTCCTGGAAGAAAACAACACCCCCCCCACAGTCTCTATTCCACTGTTGCAAACACATCTCCTCACCCCCTCTGTTGGACTTTTGCTCCTGGATCTGTGAAGGAAGCTTCTGTGACAGCTGGATGGTTCGGCCTAAATATCCCCCTCCCACAATGAACCTACATTTGACTCAAGCTGTCTTGTCCTATTTGCAACTCCGGGAAGAGTGGCTGCCCTGTCCTGATCCCAGCTGAGAAAATGCTGAATCGCTTCTTGCTCTCATCATTATGCTGCATTTGCTGCACTTGCCCTCGATGCATGACACTTCGCATTAAGGCTGTAAAGTTCGGGGAAGGGCCCCTAGCTCAGTGGTGGAACATCTGCTTCGCATGCAAAAGGTCCTAGGTTCAGTTCCTGGCATCTCCAGGTAGATGATGCCCTGGAGAGACACTGCTGGTCCGTGCATATAACACTGAGCTAGAGGAACTAATGTTGTGACATTGCAGAAGGTAGCTTCCTATATCTCTAAGTTATGGGGGTTGTGGCTGAGAATAGTAAAATGAGATACAGTACTATATATGCCTTCCATGCTAAGAATAATTCTAGCATACATCTACATTTTACAAAAGCTATGGTTTTCCCAGTAGTGATGTATGGAAGTGAGAGCTGGACCATAAAGAAGGCTGATGGCCGAAGAATTGATCCTTTCAATTCTGGTGCTGGAGGAGACTCTTGAGAGTCCCATGGACTGCAAGAAGATCAAACCTCTCCATTCTGAAGGAAACCAGCCCTGAGTGCTCACTGGAAGGACAGATCCTGAAGCTGAGGCTCCAAAACTTTGGCCACCTCATGAGAAGAAAAGACTCCCTGGAAAAGACCTTGATGTTGGGAAAGATGGAGGGCACAAGGAGAAGGGGACAACAGAGGACAAGATGGTTGGACAGTGTTCTCGAAGCTACCAGCATGAGTTTGACCAAACTGCGGGAGGCAGTGGAAGACAGGAGTGCCTGGCGTGCTCTGGTTCATGGGGTCACGAAGAGTCGGACACGACTAAACAACTAAACAACAACAACATTTGACTGCCAGCAACCCAAGGAGCAAGGTCTATGAGTGTAACTGGGGATTTTCTCCATTTTTTCTCCAAGTAGAGAAGCAATTTCAATTTCATTTACGGCCCTATACATCTCAAAATTTACTCTTTGTATAACCAGGAGATCTGATCCCCTACTGGTGAAGCTCGCTGACCTCCCGGAAAAGCAAAAATTCGACCTTTTCCTGTTAGGCAAACATCATAAGACGACCCGGATGTTCGCCGGATTCTGTGCACAGATCTGTAGGCACAGACCATCCCCCGACTCAAAATAGTTTGTGAAGAAAATCCGCAAACTCAGTTCCATGGGTGACTCTGGGCCATGTCTATGCGGTAGCTTATCTTAAAGTTTTAAGTGTCTATACGCTTATCACATTTATAAATTTTAAATTTATTGTTGTACATTGTTTTAACTGTTTGTTTTCTTTCTGGGATTTTACCCCCAAGTGTGTTTTATAAGCTGGTCTCCGACCGTAATAAATTATCTGTCTACCCAGTAGATCTCTGCAGTGTTCAGGAAAGTGTCTACTGCAAGCTTCAAAATTCTCAGACCTCAGAGCAGGGCTTTAAGTGTGGCTGCTCCTCTCTCATACCCTCCAACATTTCTCTGATGAAAACAGGGACATCCCGTTCCATAATGATAATTTAACTATTTATATCCCACACCTCTTACTGGGTTGTCCCAGCCGCTCTGGGCGGCTTCCAACATATATAAAATAATAATAATACATTAATATTTTTTTTTAAAGACTTCCCTATACAAACTGCTCTGGGTTGGATAACTCAATACCTTCCAACATTTCTCAAATGAAAATAGGGACTTCCTAAGGAAAAGTGAGACATTACGGGATTAAATCAGAAACCGGGACGAGTTCTTTGAATCAGGGACACCCTTGGAAACTTGGTGCACTTGGAGGCTCTACAGCAGCTCTTCTGAGATACAACAGGAACTCACTAGCTACTCTAATTGAACACATTCTTGTCCCAACAGGCTTTTCCAGATGTATAAATGGGTCTTTGATGCGAACGCCCATTTCTTGGGGTCTTAGTCTTGTTTTAAAAAGCATTTGTTGGCTTTGCATTTTTAACTGCTTTTAATAATCGCATGTGTCAGTCGCCTTGAGATGGCTCTTTAGAAGGCAATTAATAAATCATCAGCAACATTAATGCTGATGCACATGGATTACCAAAGCACATTAAGGCTCTGTGCAAAAAGGATATGTCGATATGGGCACCTGTTCACAGGAAGATTCCTTCTTCAGCTGTGATTTAATCAATGCACATTTATGCACTGCTGATGTGTAAATTAAAAAAGAATCAGACAAAAAACACAGCACGTTGTGCACTCCTGAGCCCAGAGCACATACCAGAAATAGAAGAATGGTGGATAATAATAATAATAATAATAATAATAATAATAATTTATACCCCGACCATCTGGCTGGGTTTCCCCAGCCACTCTGGGCAGCTTCCAACAAAATATTAAAATACAGTGGCCTGTTACACATTAAAAGCTTCTCTAAACAGGGCTGTTTTCAGATGTCTTCTAAAAGTCTGGTAGCTGTTATTCTCTTTGACATCTGGTGGGAGGGCATTCCACAGGGTGGGTGCCATTACCGAGAAGGCCCTCTGCCTGGTTCCCTGTAACTGGGCTTCTCGCAGTGAGGGAACCACCAGAAGGCCCTTGGTGCTGGACCTCAGTGTCCGGGTAGAACAATGGGGGTGGAGACACTCCTTCAGGTATACTGGACTGAGGCCATTTAGGGCTTTAAATTTCAGCACCAACACTTTGAATTGTGCTCAGAAATGTACTGGGAGCCAATGTAGATCTTTCAAGACCGGTATTATGTGGTCTTGGCGGCTGCTCCCAGTCACCAGTCTAACTGCCGCATTCTGGATTAGTTGTAGTTTCCGGGTCACCTTCAAAGGTAGCCCCACATAGAGTGCATTGCAGTAATCCAAGTGAAAGATAACTAGAGCATGAACCACTCTGATGAGACAGTCTGCGGGCAGGTAGGGTCTCAGCCTGCGTACCAGATGTAGCTGATAAACAGCTGCCCTGGACACAGAATTGACCTGCACCTCCATGGACAGCTGTGAGTCCAATATGACTCCCAGGCTGCGCACCTTGTCCTTCAAGGGCACATTTACCCCATTCAGGACCAGGGAGTCCTCCACACCCGCCCGTCTCCTGTCCCCCGAAACAGTACTTCTGTCTTGTCAGGATTCAACCTCAATCTGTTAGCCGCCATCCGTCCTCCAACCGCCTCCAGACACTCACACAGGACCTTCACCACCTTCACTGGTTCTGATTTGAAAGAGAGGTAGAGCTTGGTATCATCCGCATACTGATGAACACCCAGCCCAAACCCCCTGATGATCTCTCCCAGTGGCTGCATGTAGATGTTGAAAATCATGGGGGAGAGAACAGAACCCTGAGGCACCCCACAAGTGAGAGCCCAGGGGTCTGAACACTCACCCCCCCCCCACTTTCTGAACACGGCCCAGGAGGAAGGAACGGAACCACTGTATAACACTGCTCCCAGCTGCTCTAGATGGTCCAGAAGTATGTTACGGTTGATGGTGTCAAAAGCCTCTGAGGGATCCAGCATTGCTAATGCACTGGTTCTGCTACAAAAACAAGATTAGGCAATGCAAGATCTCAGCATCCGTGGAGTATTTGGATGGAGAGAATGTTGTAAGCACTTCCAGCTGCCAGTTAGAGGTGAGTATATAACAAGAGGAGATGGAGGGCGGGGGGAATAATTTCTTCTGTTCACATTTTAATGCAATCCCACCCAATCCACTCTTCCTGAACCAATTCACAAATCAATTCACACAGGACTCTTTCCAAATAACACTACTAATTTTGCAATGCAGTTTCCCAACTCAGAATGAATACAATACACACACACACACACAGAGAGAGAGAGAGAGAGAGAGAGAGAGAGAGAGAGAGAGAGACTTCTAGACAGACTGACACAGTAGAAACCAGACTTGCCATGTTCACATGTTCTACCTATAGGACCGCCTCTCCTGGTATGCCCCACAGAGGACCTTAAGGTCCACAAATGACAACATTTTGGAGGTCCCAGATCGCAAGATTGGTCACAACTAGGGCCAGGGCCTTTTGAGTACTGGCCCCGACTTGGTGGAATGCTCTGTCACAAGAGACTAGGGCCTTGCAGGACTTGACATCTTTCTGCAGGGCCTACAAGACAGAGCTGTTCTGCCTGGCCTTTGGTTTGGACTCAGTCTGACCCTTATGTTTCCCTCCCCTTATGGTTTTGATGAGGCTGCATTTTAAATTGCATTTTAACCTGTATTTTAAATTGGTCCCCCCCCCATTATGTTTTTACTGTAATTTTACTGTTGTTAGCTGCCTTGAGCCCAGCTCTGACTGGGGAGGGTGGGGTATAAATTAAATTTATTATTATTGCTATTACTTACAAGTAATAAAGCACCATACTGCCCATTCTGTATCTTTCATTATCTTAATACTACAGCGATACTATAATAAATAGTGTATGTTGATACTAATATGCAAGAGTCTGTGAGTGCAGGCAGATTATATTAAATTCTCCCATTTTAAAATTGTATTCCACGTCATTCTCAATTCTCTAAGAAGAAACAAAAAAAGAGGTGCCAAATGCATTTTCTCCACCTTTTCCATGAGCATCGCTAGGGTCCAGGATTTATTGAAATCCCCATCATGTTCTGCCTTCCACAATATTTCAGCACAGGATCTTGAGGCCATGGACTGATTCAGCAGGCACTGCAAAATGGCATTTCCCATCATATTCTGCCTTTGCACGCAAAAGTGCCACATATTTTAAGGCAATTAAAACACAAAGGAGATAGAGCAAAAAATAAATAAATCTAACTAATATCGGGGGAGGGTTGGAACAATAACTTAGGGAGTGAAAATAGAATTCATAATCATGTGTTTGCTCCATATCATTCACATTGGGGGGCATTTGCAGAGGAGAGTCAACAGGAAGAAATAGATTATTTATTATTATTATTATTATTATTATTATTATTATTATTATTATTAATACTTCCCCGTCAGGCTGCTTTTGCCCATCCCCCCAACTAGGATCTGAGTTCCAAAGAAAGCCCAGCATGCAAGAGAGGGAACAGGAGCACATCAGCTGGGGAGAATGAGCAGGGAAGATGTTCCTGCCACCTGATTGACCTAGACCAGTGTCTTCTGGCTGCAGATGCTTTGGACTACAACTCCCATCAGGCTGTTCTGGCTGAGGACGATGGATGTTGTAGTACAAAACATAAAGGTAAAGGGACCCCGACCATTAGGTCCAGTCGCGGACGACTC